TGATTCACTCCCCAAGTGACTGGAATGACTGGAGCTGAGCTGATCTGAAGCCAGGAGCCAGGAAATTCTTCTAGGTCTCCTGTACAGGTGCAGGATCCCAAGGCTTTGGGCAATTCTTGACTGCTTTCCCAGGCCACTAGCAGGAGTTGGATGAAAAGCAGGGCCTCCAGGATTAGAACTGGCACCCATATGGGATCCTGGCGCGTTCAAGGCAAAGACTTTAGCCACTAGGCCACTGTGCTGGGCCCCTGTAACTCTGCTTTTCAAATTAATAAAATAAATCTTTAAAAATACATGTAAGGTAAAAACCTTAATTCAGGGCCCAGTACAGCAGCCAAGTGGTTTAAGTCCTTGCCTTGCATGCCCAGGATCCCATATGGGCGCTGGTTTTAATCCCAGAAGCCCCACTTCCCATCCAGCTCCCTGCTTCTGGGTCTCCCACACGGGTGCAGGGTGCCAAGGCTTTGGACCATCCTCGGCTGCTTTCCCAGGCCACAGACAGGGATGGGACCATCAGGACACAAAGCAGCACTCATGTGGGATCCTGGTGCATGCCAGGTGAGGACTTTAGCCGCTAGCTACCTCGCCAGCATACCCTTTTTTAAAATTTGATTTATTTGAGGGACAAAAAGAGAGGAATGGAGGAAGGGAAAGAAAAAATAAAACATGTGCACACCTGCTAGTTCATTCTCAATGCCCACAGCGGCTGGCTTAGGGCGGGAGGTCCCTGCGAGGGTGGGACAGACCCAGCTGCTTGGGCCTGCAGTACAGGGTCCTGCTCTCCCAGCTGCGCCGCGCGCACACACACACACACACACACACACACACACACGCACGCCTGTTTTGGAGTTTTTGAAAGAGGAAACCCTTTACAAAGATTCTTCCCGAATATCTGGACAAGTTACTGTTGTCAGCCTTTGGATATGAACAAGTAGAGTTGCTGTAGACACAATGCATTACAGTTTATAACCATCCACTGTTGCTCTTCTGGTATTAGGTAACAATTTTATGAGTTCATCCCCCACAAAGAATCACTTTATTTTCTCTCAGATTCCTGAGAGGCACAGAGTGTCTGAACCGGCATCCTTGCCTGGAGCAAGGAAGGTGTGGGGTGTATGTGGTCCAGGATGGCCTTGACCTGCGTCACCCCTGCAGATCCCGCACTTGTGAATGGTGCAGAGCTGGCTGGGAGGGTCTCGGTGGCTTCCAGTTTGCAAGCTGGTTTCTGGGGTTGCCTGGTTTTCTCTCGTCTCGTCTCCTCTCTCCCACCGCACTCAGCCCCCGTTTGCGGGGGGAAGAACATCGGAGGCTGGCAGGGGAGGTAGTTCTGCTGAACAGGTTTGGTTCTGGAAATGGGAGCGTTGGATCCTTGGGTGAAGGTATTTCTGTAGCTTTAGCAGGCACTCGGGCCTGGGTCTGTGTTGGAAGTGTGGAAGACCACAGTTAGGAAGCGTGTACAGCTAGCTGCTTTGGAAATGGAGTGTGTGTGCATGCATTCCGCTAAGCGACTTATGCAGATCATCTTGTTTGATTCTGTCACTGGGAGTTAGGAACTATTTTTAGCTACCTGTTCTAGATGAGAAAATAAAAACCTGTCCTTAGGAAAGGTTTCAGTGTTTTAAACGTCCCAGGAGCAGATCTAGAGTTGGACCTTAAGGTGCTGTTGAGCTCTGAGCCCACTGATCTGCCTCCGGGATTTCAGCTCTAGATGTACTGATTCTAGTGAAAAAAATGTTTCTAAGAATGTGATACGTGGTAGAAGTGATTTTGGAAATTAATTAATTAATCAATTCCTTCCTTCCTTCGTCTTTTTAAAAAGATTTTCTTTATTTTTACTGGAAAGGCCGATATACAGAGAAGAGGGGAGAGAGGTGATTCAGTCCCCAAGCAGCTGCAGTGGCCAGAGCTGAGCCAATCCGAACCCAGCAGCCAGGAGCCTCCTCCAGGTCTCCCACATGGGTACAGGGTGCCAAGGCTTTGGGCCGTCCTCCACTGCTTTCCCAGGCCACAAGCAGAGCGCTGGATGGGAAGTGGAGCTGCCGGGATCAGAACCAGCATCCATATGGGATCCTGGCGCGTGGAAGGGGAGAGGACTTTAGCTGCTAGGCTACTTCATGGGCCCTGTGTGTTTTATTTTTTCAGATCAAACTCTCCAGCAGCCATCTTATCTTTTGTTGTCATTTTTATACTTTTTGTTAATCCTTGTAAAACTTAATTTTGGGTTACATTAGTTTCTGATTTCCATTGCCTGGCTTTTGCTTCCCTTGGTTTTACGCTGTTGATTTTTTTATAAGTTACAAGTGGGACGCTTAGGAAAGTAGCCTTTTTTTTTTTTGAAAGTAGTTTTTAGCCTAATTTTAAGACAAGCATTCACACCTATTCTGTATTGTTTCTCATAATTTCTATGGTCTTTTGGTGCCCAGTGCAATGTCCCAGTGGCTAAATCCTCACCTTACTAGCACCAGGATCCCATAAGGGTGCCAGTTTGTGTCCCAGCTGCCCCACATCCCATCCAGCTCCCTGCCTGTGGCCTGGGAAAGCAGTGGATGACTGCCCAAGGCCTCGGGACCCTGCACCCGTGTGGGAGATCAGATGAAGTTCCTGGCTCCTGGCTTCAGATTGGCACAGCACTGGCCGTTGAGGCTGCTTGGGGAATGAATCATCGAGCGGAAGATCTTCCTCTGTCCTCCTCTCTGTATATCTGACTTTCCAATTAAAAAAAATTAAAATTTTTTTTTAAAAATAGTCTCTTATGGGTTGTGCTTTGGTACCATGTGTAAGAACTTGGTTCCTCTGTCCGGCAGCGTGGCCTAACGGCTAAAGTCCTCACCTTGCACCTGCCAGGATCCCATATGGGTGCAGGTTCTAATCCCGGTGGCCCCACTTCCCATCCAGCTCCCTGCTCATGGCTGAGGATGACCCAAAGCCTTGGGACCCTGCACCCGTGTGGCCAACCCAGAGGAAGCTCCAGGCTCCTGGCTTCAGATCATCTCAACTCCAGCCGTTGAAGCCACTTGGGGGGTGCATCTGCAGACCTGAGATCTTGCTCTCTGTCTCTCCTGCTCTCTATATCTGACTTTCCAATTAAAAAAACAAACTTGGGGGCCCGGCGCGGTGGCGCAGTGGTTAAGGTCCTCGCCTTGCACGCCCGGGATCCCATATGGGCGCCGGTTCTAATCCCGGCAGCCTCGCTTCCCTTCCAGCTCCCTGCCTGTGGCCCGGGAAAGCAGTTGAGGACGGCCCAAAGCTTTGGGACCCTGCACCCACGTGGGAGACCCGGAAGAGGCTCCTGGCTTCGGATCGGCATAGCGTCGGCCCGTTGTACTCACTTGGGGAGTGAATCATCGGATGGAAGATCTTCCTCTCTGTCTCTCCTCTCTGTATATCCGCCTTTCCAATACAAAAGTATAAAAATAAATCTTTAAAAAAAAAAAAAAAGACAAACTTGGTTCTTAAACCAAGTTCCTAAAGGAGGTGGAAAAGTAGTTGTGCAGGTTTACTTTCTTGTCCAGCTGCTGAAATGCTCTCCAGAGGTGCCCACTGTTGGACAGGCACAGTGCCAAAGAGGCTTGGGCCAGGCTGGTGTGAGGAGCCAGTCTCCCGTGCGGGTGCTGCGGGTCCAGTCACTTGGCCAGCATGCCGCATTCCCAGGGCTTTAGCAGGCAGCTGGGCCTTGCATCTGACAGCAGGCACAGCTTATTGCACCGTGGGCTGGGCTTCTGAGCTCATTCTAAAAATATTGTGTTGCTTCTGTAGGTGCCTGCACGCATGGTCAAGTTGTCTGTTAGGACAATTTTAATGGTGCGTTTCTGATAGTTGCTTTTTGTTTTTTATTTTTATTGGATTAAAGATGACTTGTTTGCATTTGCATTATATTTTGGTGCTTTGTCTACACATGTCTTTATTATTTGTAGATCATGTTTGGTATTAACATTTCCTACAAGCCATCGTTGCATAAAAAGTTTTTACTAAAAGTCGGTACTCTGGTGCGCTTTGCTGTAATTTCCTCATCTTTTACCCTCTACTGTTGCCTGTTCAGTGGACTCTGTGGAATCCTGCCAAGTTCACAGCCACTCACTAGCCCTTCAGGCATGTTCTCTGAAGTCAGTGCCCCTAGATTCAAGGATGGCAGCATGGGTGGTGACAGTCAAGCACGTTCATTGAAAGGATTAGTCAGTTTCCTGTGATTTCGTTAATGTTTGTACACTTTTGCATTTTTTATTCCCTTGTAAAAAAAGGCCAGAATTTCCCCTGCATTCCTTTGTTGTTGTTTTCAAGGGAAACACAGTGGCAGTGGTGCCCTTGGAAAGGTGCCCAGGGCCGCTGCTGCAGAACCCAGGAGAGCTGACGTCATGGGAGCCCAGTTAGCCCAGTTCTGCAGTCACCCCAGTGCGTGCCGTGAAAAGCACTTGGCCTACCATTTGTACCACGAGTGTTACACATGTAAATGTGTTCCAAACGTTTCCTTTCAGGATAAACTTTTTTAAAAAGAGATTTATTTATTGATTTGAAAGGCAGAGGTGGAGAGGGAGAAACAGAGATCTTCCATCTGCTGTTCACTGCCCCGCAACAACCACGACTGGGCCAGGCTGAAGCCAGAGCAGGAGCTTGCACCAGGTCTCCCACGCGGGTGCGGGGCCGCGGCTGCACGTGCTGCAGGTCTCCCACGCGTGTGCAGGCCCATGGCTGCGCATGCTGCAGGTCTCCCAGTGGTCCCTCAGGTTACAATTTTTTTTACTGGCTATTTGGTAATAAAGCTGCTACAGTGATCGATGGATTATTATTGCCAAGTGAATAGAACTACTGTTTCTGAGAAGGGTGGAATGTGGAGAATGGTTGCCAGGCTGAGCTGTGCTGGCCTGAGCTGCGGGCTGCAGCCCCGTCCCGCTGTCAGGGAAGGGTCGTGGCGGCACCTTCTGAGGCGAGAGGCTGGAGTGGTGGTAGCATCTACTGCTTGTTGTATCTGTGAAATTACAGTAAAATTTTTTCTCTTTTTCAAGCCAAACTAGCAAGACGCAGTCAAGAGCGAGACAATCTGGGCATGTTGGTCTGGTCACCTAATCAGAATCTGTCCGAGGCAAAATGTAAGTTGTCACCTCTATTTTCTTTCTAATTTTAACGAACAGTAAGGATGTTATTTTGTCATGTTTGGGGTGTCATCACCTTCCCTCCGTCTTGGGATGTTGCCTATGTGGATTCTGTGCTGAGCAGAAGGCGGGCTCCAGGGGAAGGAGCCTCACTGCAGCCCTCCCGCTCCCAGGGCACAAGTTTGAACAAGTTTTACTGTTATATGAAAATGTGTTTACCCATTTGTTTGTTTATGTAAAAGAAAGGGACTAAGGATGGGAAGAGGAAAGAGATGTCTCCACTTGCTGTTTCACTCTTGAAATGGCCACTGTGGCAGCTCCGCTGCGAGAAGCCTGGGGCTCTGTCAGGATCCCCCCCCCCCCCCCGCCTGAGCGCGTGGACACACGCACGGGAGCTGCATCTCAGAGCAGCTGGTGGGTCCTGCATGGCATCAGCTTGGCCCGGCGTACCACAGTGCCAGCTTTGACTGAGGTGATCTTAAGATTTATTTATTTATTAGAAAGGCAGACCCAGGGCACAGTGGCATGGCCTAACGGCTAAAGTCCTCACCTTGAACACACTGGGATCCCATATGGGCGCTGGTTCTAATGCCGGCAGCTCCACTTCCCATCCAGCTCCCTGGAAAAAGCAGTCGAGGACGGCCCAAAGCTTTAGGACCTTGCACCCGCGTGGGAGACGCGGAAGAGGTTCCTTGTTCCCGGCTTCAGATCGGCGCAGCACTGGCCATTGCAGTTACTTGGGGAGTGAATCATCGGATGGAAGTTCTTCCTCTCTGTCTCTCCTCCCCTCTGTATATCTCACTTTGCAATAAAAATAAATACGTCTTAAAAAATAAAAAGGCACACCCACAAAGAGAAAGAAATACAGACAATAATTGTAGAGAGATCTTCCACTGTTTCACTCCCCAAGTGGCTGCAACAGCCAGGGCGGAGCCAATCTGAAGCCAGGAGCCAGAAACTTCCTCCAGGTCTCCCACGCGGGTGCAGGTCCCAATGTTCTGGGATGTGCTTGACTGCTTTCCCAGGCCACAAGCAGGGATGGGAAGTGGAGCTGCTGGGACCAGAACCAGTGCCCATGTCAGATCCCGGCACGTTCAAAGAGAGGACCTTAACCACTACACTATTGCGCCGGGCCCCAAAATTTCATTTTTTTAAATAATTTTTCAAAGCAGAGTTACAAAACAAAATGGTGATATTTTGCATGTTTTGGTCATTTCCCAGTCAGTCTTAATAGCCAGGTTGATCCAGGCTAAAACCAAAAGCTAAGAACTGCTTCCGGACCACCTGCTTGGGTGGCAGCAGCTCAGACCTGTGACCCACCAGCCGTTCCCTAGGCGCATTTGTAGAGCTGGGTTGGGGGCTGAGTCTGGGATTCAAGGAGAGGCTCTGACAAGAACATGGTTTGTGTTCCACCTCCCCGGGATGCATGCTCCAAGCTGTGGACACTGTCACAGAGGATCCGTGTTTACTTCTGATATATTACCTTGAATCTTTGTCATCTTCGTTAACTTTGCTTTCTGTATAACTAAGAGAAAGAACAGGTGAAATCCTTTTTTTGAGATTTTGACGACTGTTGATACAGTTTCTGTTTTTGTGTAGAAAGAGAGTGTTCTCAAGGGGTTTTTGACAAAAATAGATTAAGAACCATACAAGTCTTTTTTGTAAAGATGTATTTGTTTTTTATTTGAAAAGAAATTTTACAGAGAGAAGAGACAGAGAGATCATCTGTCTACTGGCTCACCCCCAAATGGCCATAGTGGCTGGAGCTGGGCCGGGCTGGAGTCAGGAACCTGGAGCCGTCTCCAGGTCTTGCACGTGGGTGCAGGGTCCCCAACACTTGGGCCATCCTCCATTGCTTTCCCGACCATAAATGGGGAGCAGGGCAGAAGTGGTGCAGTGGGACTAGAACTGGTGCCTGCAAGGGATCTGCCAGAGCAAGCCATGAGGTCTGTTACTTCACAGTGCTGACCCGTTGAAATCATTAAACCCTAGGTGAAGTCTGGGGCTGGTAGGTGCCCCCCATCATGCCCAGACTGTGTTCGTCGAAGTATTATTAATAGAGCCGGGAGCATGCCATCCTGCAGCCTCCTGCTGAACTGAGCCCCGGAGCGCAGGTGTTGGAGCGGCAGGTCAGGCTGTGATCCGGAAGGACTCGCTGAGCTAGCAGCAGGTGGAGGATCTCTGTCTTTCCTCTCGGCGCTCTGCCTTTAGTGCACACACACAGGACTGTTGGGGTTTTGCTTTGTAAGGATTTATTTATGTGAAAGAGGAATGGACAGAAGCAAGGTCCTCCACCCACTGGGTTACTCCCCGAGTCTTGTTCTTGAACGTCGAGGTGCTTTCTTGCCTCTCTGTGCTGTAACATAGCCGTGCGATTTGCGGTGTCCTTGGCAGCTGCGCCCGTTGCTAGTTCCTTGTTTAGGGACACTTTGTGACTGTCTCTTCTGCCAGAGAAGCAGCACAGAGCGCACAGTGCTGCGACATGTTTGTTGATTGAGGGAGGAGCGGCTTTGGTGGGCAGCACGTGGTCTCCAGGACTACCCCTTTGCCACCCTGGGGTTTTTTTTTTAAGGTTTATTTTTATTATTTTTTTATTGGAAAGGCGGATATACAGAGAGGAGAGACAGAGAGGAAGATCTTCCGTCCAATGATTCACTCCCCAAGTGAACGCAACGGCCGATACTATGCCGATCCGAAGCCAGGAGCCTCTTCCGGGTCTCCCACGTGGGTGCAGGGTCCCAAAGCTTTGGGCCGTCCTCGACTGCTTTCCCAGGCCACAGGCAGGGAGCTGGAAGGGAAGCGGGGCTGCCGGGATAGAACCGGCGCCCATATGGGATCCCGGGCGTGCAAGGCGAGGACCTTAACCACTTGCACCACCGCGCTGGGCCCCACCCTGGGTTTTGAGCAGTCTTGGCAGAACCTTCTCTGCTTCCAGGGTGGCTGCAGACACAGAGCAGCAGTGATTGCCGGGCCCCTGGCCGCCCGACTCTCTGACCCACGGGTTCCCGAGCCTGAGAGGACACCCTGCTGCACCCTGCTGGGAGAGCATTCCTGTCTCATGGGTGCCCTCAGAGTTGGTCACTGCCTGATTCTCCTTCAGTGGCCTCCTGCCTGGGCCCTGGCGCAGGTCGGTTGCACCAAGTGGGTGTGGGCTGGAGGGAGAGGTGGGCTGCTCCACTCCAGGTGGTTCCTAGTAATGAGAGGAAGGAGCTGGTGAGTCAGGTGTTGGGCCCCTGTTGCCCTCATGGCAGAGCGGGTGGCACTTTGGGCTCCCGACCTTGGCCCCTCCTCCTTTGCTGGCTGAGCTGGTTTAGTTTGCTTTAGGCAAATTGAAATTTTCTGAGGAGAAAGGTGAATTAATCACAACTGAATGTCATTCTGTTGGTGGTCAGGGTGTTTTTTTTTTTTTTTTTTTTTTTGAAAGATTTATTTTGAAAGGTAGATTGACAGAGAGAATCAGAAGCAGAGGTCTTCCATCTGCTGGTTCACTCCTCCAATGGCTGCAGGGGCTGGAGCTGAGCTAATCTGAAGCCAGGAGCGGGAGCCAAAGAGTAGGGCCTCCCTGTGCTGCTTTCTGGGCCACAGGCAGGGTCAGGAGTGCAGCTGCCCACGCGAGGCCCAGTGCCCACGTGGGATGCGGTGCTGCAGGCACAGGGTTGCCTTGCTGCACCACAGCACTGTCTCCTGTTGATGGTCAGTTTCAAAGATTGCAACTTCACCTGCGTGGATGCACAGATACGTGAGTGCTGCAGAGGACAGAAGGACCGTGTGTCCTGTTGCCTGTGAAGCGTTCTGTCTGAAAGAGACTTCTGCTAGGAGAGCTGTGAAGGAGGGGCGGTCATCAGGGGGTGGCCTGGAAAGGGAGGAGTTAGACCTGAAGCTGGCAAGTGTGCAGCCTGTCAAGGAGGCTGGCACAGAGGTCAGGAAGTTACATTTTCCTAGATAAAGTGCATCCTGGCACTCTTGAGAGGACTGGTGGCCTGTATTTGCTTTGGCATAGTCTGATTTCTTTTTGCCATGTTCCCTTAGTGGAGGCATCCTTCATCTGTTGGTTGTATTCGTGTCTGTGTCCACCAGGTGGCAGGATTGCTTCAGCTAAGCTCGTTTTGGTTCTTGAGTTACAGGGATAATTCATTTATTTTAGTTAGAGGAAATGTCATGATATTTGTTGCCATATCCCTACAGTATTTTTGGCACACTCAGTTTGAGTCATGAGAGAAGTTGGTGTCATGTGTCTTTGCTGTTGCGGGGTTATGCTATGTTATTTTGCAAAAGCTCTGCGAAGGCTGTAGTTTGTCCCCGCCCCACCTGGGCCGGCCGAGCCTCCAGTGTGTCGGAGGAGGGCGAGGTGATCTGAGGCCGTGGTGGTGGAATTGGAGACTGTTAGCGGTAGGTACTCAGAGGATGTGCCCGCGTTTCTTCCTCTGTTTCTGTCACTTGCATCATCAGCCACAGTTCTGCTTTCCTGACTCAGGGCTGTTTTTCCCACCCCTTCTCTCAGGAAACAGGGTTTTTAACGGCCAGGGTGTGGCCCATACGGCTCTGTGCCCCTGGTCGACATCCCTGCCCCCCTTGAGTACTTGTGGTAATAGAATTAAGAAGACAACCCTGTGAAGAGTGTGCGGCTCTCGGTGGCAGGTGTCTGCCCTCCGCGTAACTGTGGGCGGGCAGTGGGGGCACAGCCAGTAAGCTGCTGCCTGCCACATTTGGCATCCTGCACTGCCTGCTGCTCCCTTTACAGTCAAGGCCCCTACTCATGCGCCTGGGAGAGCTCAGGAGCTGCTCAGCACGCGGGCCCTTCCCGCCCGCCGTGGAGAACTGATGTGGTTGGTGCCTGGCCTCGGCCCAGCTCCTTCCCGGCTGTTACAGGGACTGGGGCAGTGACCCGGCACATGGATGGTCTCTGTTGCTCTGCCTTTAGTGCACACGCAGGACTGTTGGGGCTTTGGTTTTTTAAGGATTTATTTATTTGAAAGAGGAATAGACGGAGAGAAGGCAAGGTCCTCCACCCACTGGGTTACTCCCCGGCTGGCTTCAGCACTTGGACCGTCCTGCGCTGCTTTCCCAGGCACTCGACCAGGAGTAGAGCAGCTGGGTCTTGAACTGGTGCTCCTGTGGGATTCTGATTTCACAGACAGTGGCTTTATGAGCTATTCCACAGTGCTGGCCCTAGTGTATCTTTTACAAAAAGTGTTTCTAGATTTATTTGAAAGGAAGGTAGAGAGAAGCAGGTCAGCAGTTGAGGCTGTCCACTTGAGCTGTGGCGTCAGGCGCCTTAGCTGGAAGCCAGGTGAGCGGGAGAGCTGGGACTTTGAAACCCAGACTCTCCGTTGTGGGGTGCACATCTCAAGTGCCCCAGATCTCACCACTGCCCCAAACACTGCTGCAGCTGCCGGATCTCCCAGCTGTTTCTCCTGGTTTACCATCACTGTAGTCGGTTCTGGGAAGCTGGATGGTCCCCGCCTCGCAGCTGCTCTCCATCCCGCACACTCCTGCGCTTTGCTGCAAATGCAGACTCTCAGGAGGCAGTAGGGATTTTGTGTGTTTTCTTGATGAATGAGGCCTCACTTCTCTCCTGCACATGATGCTCCTGACAGCTCTGCCTCCCCGGGCGTCAGCAAGGAGCCGGCTCTTCAGGGTCGCCTTGTCTCGGGGTCTGTGTGATGCATATCTTTGTTCATCCTGATTTAAGATGCACAAATCTTTGCTTGGAAACACTGCAGCATGCAATAATAGAGTTGCTTTTTTTTTTTTTAAGATTTATTTATTTATTGGAAAGTCAGGTGTACAGAGAGGAGGAGAGACAGAAGAAGATCTTCCGTCCGATGATTTACTCCCCAAGTGAGCGCAACGGCCGATGCTATGCCGATCCGAAGCCAGGATCTAGAAACTTCTTCTGGGTATCCCACACGGGTGCAGGGTCCCAAGGCCTTGAGCTGTCCTCGACTGCTTTCCCAGGCCACAAGCAGGGAGCTGGATGGGGAGTGGAGCTGCTGGGATTAGAACCGGTGCCCATATGGGATCCCAGCGCGTTCAAGGCCAGGACTTTAGCCGCTAGGCCATGCCGCTGAGCCCTAGAGTTGCTTTTAAAGTTGAATTCCGTGGCACAATGACTGGTTTCTTTTCCTGAATCTCCCCCCTCTTTTCCCCCCAAGGTGAATTGATTGATTTGAAAGTCAGAATTAAAGAAAGATGGAGTCAGAGTGATTGTTCATTTGCTGGCTCACCAGGGCTGGACCGGGAGCATCTGGGTCTCCCATGTTTGTGTCAGGGTGTTGGGTTGGAAGTGAAACAGCTGGGACGCCGATCTGTATCCATAGGGGGTGCCAGCAGCACTGGTGGGAGCTTCGCCTGCCAGGCCACCACACGGCCCATGATTCTTTTGCTTGTGACTAGCAAATCATCCTGTTAGCTAAGTTACACAGTGCTGGAGGCCCCTCAGCCAGTGGACTTGCCCATCCTGTACACTGGGAGGCAGGTGGGCGCATGGACACAAACCTGCAAGTGTGCTGGCGCTTTCCAAGACCCTCAGGGCTCGCTCATTTCCGGGGCCAGTTTCCCAGTGGCCTCGCTCCGCAGCTTCTCCTGGCCGTGTCTGAGACCACCTCTGGCCGCCCTCTCTTCCCGTGGCGGACGTGAGCGCTGCTGAGGCCCCTTGGGCTCACGCTGGCGTCCTCAGCAGGCCTGTGTCTGTGGCTTCTCTTCCGTTCCTTGGGGATCGGGCACCTTCATCAGCCTTACCCTCTGTTCTCGCGAGGAGAAATGTGAGTGGGCTTTGCTTTCTAGAGTTGACATGACTTAGGAAAACCCAGTTGCAGGCTATCCTCAGCTGACACCAAAAATGAAACACAAGAGGGAGATTCTTCTTGGTGGTATTTCAAATTCTGTAACACACAGCTAATAACCTCTCAGAAGGGCGATCCCGCTGGCTGGGTCTGTGATTGGTGCTACGACCCTGTTCTGTTACCATCGTGTGTGTGCGCGCGCGCGCGCGCACCCTGGCTGCCCTGCCAGTGCTCACGGCCTTCCCTGTCTTGTGTTTCAGTGGACGAGTACATCGCCATTGCCAAGGAGAAGCACGGCTACAACATGGAGCAGGTGATAACACTTGTTTTCTCTCTGCCCGCCCTGCGCGGGTCTCCCTCCGGGTCCTGGGCGGGTCTCCCTCTGGGCCCTGCGCGGGTCTCCCTCCGGGTCCTGGGCAGGTTTCCCTCTGGGTCCTGGGCGGGTTTCCCTCCGGGTCCTAGGAAGGTCTCCCTCCGGGCCCTGCGCGGGTCTCCCTCCGGGTCCTGGGCGGGTCTCCCTCCAGGCCCTGCGTGGGTCTCCCTCCGGACAGCACCCCACACCTGCTCTGCTTGGGACAGGGGAAGGGCATTGTCCCTGAGGAAGTGATTGGCTTGTTTTTCCTTTGGCTTTGATTTTGTTTTCCACTCAGGCTTTCACTACCTGATCTATTATGTTTGATATTTGTTGTTTTGAATCAATTTCCAAATGCAAACATTACCTAGAATTTTAAAATATTTTTGAAACATTTACAAGAAAGCCAGATTTGTTTTTCTAGAGGTCTAATAAAATTTTATTTCAGGCTTATTTCCAATTATTATTATTTTAGTTTTTCCCTATTTGAGATGTAGGGAGGAAAGTTTCTGTCCACCTGTTCATTGCTAAATGCATACAACAGCCTGGCAAAGGGCACGGGGCTGCAGCTAAGCCTGTAAGCTCAGAGGTGCAAGGCCGGGCAGGGAAGCAGGGGGAGGCTCTTAGTGTGGGTAGAGAGCTTTAGTTGCCAGGGGAGAGTCTGGTGGACTACTTCGTCACGGGAGCTGGCCCAGGACCACTTCCGCTGGGGGAGGCTAACTGCGTGAGAACAGTGGCCGCTGAGCTGTTTAGCACTGGCTCTGCTCACCGTGCCCTCGTGCCGAGTGCTGACGTACTTGGACACCAAGGAACAGACACAGCAGCGCGCTGGGAAGTGGGGACATTTATCCTACCCTCCTTCTTCCACACTTCACCCTCCGCGCCCTAATCAGAGCCCCTCAACTGTCTACGTAAAGAAAGACACAACACCGGGCCTTTATGCCAGTCTTGAGGGAGCTGGTACCTGCAGCATCACACACGGGCTCCAGTCCATGTCTTGGCTGCTCCACTTCTTTTTTTTTTTTTTAGATTTATTTTTATTATTATTGTTATTATTTTTTAATTGGAAAGGCGGAGAGACAGAGAGGAAGATCTTCCGTCCGATGATTCACTCCCCAAGTGAGTGCAATGGCCGATGCTATGCGGATCCGAAGCCAGGAGCCTCTTCCGGGTCTCCCACGCGGGTGCAGGGTCCCAAAGCTTCGGGCCGTCCGCTAGGCCACGCTGCCAGGCCCAGAAAATATGTATTTTTAAAGATTTATTTATTTTTGGGCCTGGCGCAGTGACTGCAATGACTGGAGCTGCGCTGATCAGAAGCCAGAAGCCAGGAGCTTCTTCCAAGTCTCCCATGTAGGTGCAGGGTCCTAAGGCTTTGGGTCGTCCTCAATTGCTCATTGCAGTCACTTGGGGAGTGAGTCAACGGACAGAACATCTTCCTCTTTGTCTCTCCTCCTCTCTGTATATCTTACTTTACAATTAAAAAAAAAAAGTTGTGCTTGTTCTTATATTACAAGTCTCGTTTCCATGTTTGGATTTCATTAAATTCTTCTAAAATTTCACTGATTTTTTTTTCAGGCCCTTGGGATGCTGTTTTGGCATAAGCATAATATTGAAAAATCACTGGCAGACCTACCCAACTTCACCCCCTTCCCCGATGAATGGACTGTGGAAGATAAAGTCTTATTTGAGCAAGCCTTTAGTTTTCATGGAAAGACATTTCATAGAATTCAGCAGATGGTAAGTGCTGTTTGTCCATGCATTGGTTCTCTCCCTGAGATGGGGACAGATGGCCAGCGCTGGGTCAGGGGAAGGCAGGAGACGGGAGCTCCGGCCGGGTCTGCTCCCCGGGTCTCCTCCCCGGGTCTCCCCTGGCCCGGTCTGCTCCCCGGGTCTCCTCCCCCGGTCTCCCCCCCGGGTCTCCCCTGGCCCGGTCTGCTCCCCGGGTCTCCCGTGTGGTTGCAGGAGCCCAGCACTTGGATGGTTTCCTGCCGCTTTCCTAATGCCTTGATGGAAGAGCTGGGTTGGAAGTGGAGTGTTCAGGACTTGAATCAGTTCTCATGGGATGCTGGCACGACAGGTGGCAACTTAACGTGCTATACCACATCATTGGGGCCCCCGCATTACTTAGAAACCACTGTTTTTATTAATTTTGTCCTAATCAGAAAATCAGTGCTGTGACTGAGGACATTTCTGGTGCTTAAGAGTGAGCCTTGTCTTGGATAGACCGGGATCCCATACGGGCCCCTGTTTGTGTCCCAGCTGCTCCATTTCCTGTCCAGCTCCCTGCTCTTGACCAGGGAGGGCAGTGGAGGACAGCACCAAGCCTTGAGACCCTTCACCCGCATGGGAGACCCGGAAGAAACTTCTGGCTCCTGGCTTCATTCGGCTCAGCTACAGCCATTGCAACTAGTTGGGGAGTGAACCAGCAGACTGAAGATCTTTCTCTCTTTAAATCTAACTTTACAAGAAAAATAAAAATAAATCTTTAAAAAAAGAAGACGACGAAGACGAAAAGCAGAGCCTGGTGTAAAAGCCTGGTGGCTAAAGTCCTCATCCTGTACACCCTGGGATCCCATTCGGCTCCAATTCCAATCCCGGCAGCCCCGCTTCCCTTCCAGCTCCCTGCCTGTGGCCTGGGAAAGCAGTCGAGGACGGACCAAACCCCTGGTACCCTGCACCCGCATGGGAGGCCTGGAGGAGGCTGCTGGCTCCTGGCTTCAGATTAGTTTAGCTTCAGCTGATCTTGGGACCACTTGGGGAGAGAATCATCGGATGGAAGATCTTCCTGTCTGTCTCTCCTCCTCTACTGTACATCTAAATTTCCAATTAAGAAAAAGAAAAAGAATGATCCTTTTTAAACATATCTAAACAGTTCCCTTTTTAGTGTTCAGCATGTTGGCTCAATAAATTTTCACCTTGCAAATGCCAGAATCCCATATTGGTGCCAGTGTGGGTCCTGGCTGTCCTACTTCCCATCCAGCTCTCTGCTTCTGCCCTGTGAAAGCAATGGAGGTTGCTGCAAAGCCTGGGTCCCTGCACTCATGTGAGTGACCCAGAAGAGGCTCCTGGCTTCATTTCGGCTCAGCACTGGCCATTGCTGGCAGTTGGAGAGTGAACCAACAAATGGAAGATTTTTCTCTCTGTCCTGAAAACACGATCTGCCTTTTCAATAAAAATATTTTCTTTAAGTTTGTTTTTAAAGATTTATTTTATTTTATTAGAAAGTCATTTACAGAGCAGGAGAAACAAAGATTTCCATCTGTTGGTTCACTCCCCAAGTGGCCACAACAACTGGCGCTGAGCCAACCCCAAGCTGGAGCAGGGAGCTGGATGGGAAGTGGAGCTGCCAGGATTAGAACCGGTGACCATATGGGATCCTGGCGCGTTCAAGGCGAGGACTTTAACCACTAATCATGCCGGGTCCCAGAATAGTTTTTAAAAATGACCTGTCGGGCCCGGCGCGGTGGCGCAAGTGGTTAAGTCCTCGCCTTGCAACCCCGGGATCCCATATGGGCGCCGGTTCTAATCCCGGCAGCCCCGCTTCCCTTCCAGCTCCCTGCTTGTGGCCTGGGAAAGCAGTGGAGGACGGCCCAAAGCTTTGGGAACCTGCACCCGTGCGGGAGACCCGGAAGAGGCTCCTGGCTTCGGATCGGCATAGTATCGGCCCGTTGCGCTCACTTGGGGAGTGAATCAACGGACGGAAGATCTTCCTCTCTCTCTCTCTCTCTCTCCTCTCTCTGTATATCCGCCTTTCCAATGAAAAAATAATAAAAATAAATCTTTAAAAAAAAAAAAAATGACCTGTCAATCCTCTTTTTTATATTTAGCTTCCTGATAAATCCATAGCAAGTCTCGTGAAGTTTTACTACTCTTGGAAGAAGACGAGAACTAAAACCAGTGTGATGGATCGCCATGCTCGGAAACAGAAGCGAGAGCGGGAGGAGAGGTGAGCCGCTTGCAGCTGTGCTGGCGCCCCCAGGGGGTGCCAGCTGCCCTGCGCTGTGTTCCTGCACTGGTGCCCCTCGGGTACTTCTCCTGCCTTGGCTTCTGCTTGGAGTAGTGATCTTGTACACCGGTTTGTTTTCCTTTCGCTTAAAGCTGACACACAAACCCGACCACCTGTTGTTTCATAAGAAAGGTGGGAAGCACTGCGGGTTAGATTCTCTTCTGCCCTGGTTCTTTGAGAGAGGGATGTTTTGGGATTTCTCACCCCTGCCTGCTTTTAAGGCTCACTCTGCCTCGCCTGGGCTGAAATGGGGGTCTTTTCTCAGTTAATGACACCAGTCAGAATGAAGGAGAATGAGCTTCGTGTGCTGTGCTGTCACTGCTCAGGGCAGTTCAGTTTCCTAATGAAGAAGCGCTGTGTAGGAGCATGGTGCGATGAGTAGTGTCAAGAATTGAACGCGGGAGGTGAGAGTGACAAGCCGCTTCGGTGCGCTTTCCCAGTGATGTGCAGTGGCCTGCTGCCTGCGATGTGTGCTGCTGCTCTGCAGTCCAGCCCTGTGGGCTCGCTCGCGGCTCAGTCCTGTCCCTCACATGATAGGCTCCGTTACAGTTACTCAGAGCAAGCTGGTCAGGATGCAGTCGGAGGGCTGGGGACAGTCCCGCACTGTCCCGCACCGTCCTGGACCGTGATGATCAGAGTAGCAGCCCAAGCCCCTGGCCTGTGCTGCCATGGCTGGCGATGTGCTGTGCTGATTCGGCGTCCACACTCTCGCGAGGAACGTCTTGGCCATGAGTGGTTCTTGTTGTACAGTGGCTGGGGAGAGAAGCCATCGGTGGGCGCGTTCCCAGTGAACTGGCATCCTCACTGTCCAGTCATTTCTATGTGACAAACCGGGCAGCCATTCGACCCCAGTGGGACTTTCAGAGGAGTTCTTGCCTATGAGGGGTTTTGGGGGATTGAGGAGATGCAGGGAGGGGAAGAAGGGTATAAACCATGTGAGGGGCCATGCCTTTGTAAATGTTCCCCTTAAACACAGTTAGTGTTATAAGATGACTTATCCGGGCCGCCAGGGCCTCCCAGGCTTGGTGTCCAGCAGCAGCTGGTTCTCTGCTGGTCTTGTCCTGTTTCTCCAGCAGACGGCTGTGGGGACGTGTCGTTTAATAAGTCGAAGGTGGAGCCGCGCCACTTGGACCTGGTTTGGGGTCTGCTGCCTGCTGCAGCAACTTTGCATTGTCCAGTCTGAAACCTGGGGTGTTGGATTACTTCCCCCTCATAGATGTGTTTTAATCTTATGTTGAACACATAAGCCAGTTCATTTGTGTTTGTATTTTAAGTGGAATCAGCTAAGAAAAAAAAGTTTCATTAACTTGTTCTTGTTGTTTCAGTGAGGATGAACTGGAAGAAACAAATGGAAATAACCCCATTGACATTGAGGTTGATCCAAATAAGGAAAGCAAAAAAGAGGTATTTCCCCCTTTGGTATTATTTAGGCAGATAAATTCTATTCCACAAATGAGCCACTCCTCTCTGCCGTTGTACTTAGTATGCTGAGAGCTGTCTGCAGAGGCGGTGCCTTTGTTGAACTCGAGAGGCAGAGATGGCTTCCATGCACTGCTTTCTTGACTCCACATGTCTCCAATGGCCAGGCTGGACTGGACAGGAGCTGAGCTCTCAGTTGGGTCTGCTATGCAGGTGGCTGGTACTCAGTCGTCTGAGCCATCATCACTGCCTTCTGAGTCTGTATTGGCAGGAAGCTGGCCTCATGGGCTAGGGCAGGGGCAAGGGCACGTGTCAAGCCCAGGTTCCCCAGGGGTGGGCTCCGGGGGTCCTACCTGCTGGTTCCCACAGCCACGTTATTAAATGTCAGGAAGTAGGCGCATCAAGCCAGGAGTGTGGTCTCTTGTCAGGCAGCAGCTCTCGCTGGGCTTCTTTCTCTGGGGGCGCTGCTCCGCTGAGCCTGCGCACTCCGCCCAAGGGTCCCTCTCCATCTGTGTCTGCTTGCACATGCAGGGTCACGGGCACATCTGGGGACAGAGGCCGATTTTGGTGGCTCAGAAGCAGCCAGTACGCTCCCTCACACATCTGTCTGCCATCACAGAGACCGTGTGCCGATTTCAGTCTCTGCCTTGAGGGCCCACAGCCCCAGCAGTGTGGAGGACTTCTGCCTGCGCTTACGTGCGGACACTTAACAGTTTGTGGGAAATGGAGTCAAAGGATAAGTGTATATTGGTGAAAATGAAGTATTTTTTTAAGTTCATGTACCGCATGTTGTTAAAAATTTTGTACAAAAATTTTTATTTTAGTTCCGTTTTCAAGTTTTGAAATGCCCTTAAAGTATAAGAACAGTTATTTTATGTGTGAAAAACAAGGGTCTAGATAAAGCTCAACTTTAAAATCACATTGGTAATATAAGCTTTTTCTAGACCAGACAGGAAACACGGCTGAAGGGAAAAAGGCAGTTGGAGTGATGAGGAAATGGCGTCCATAATCTCTAAGATCGGGTGATGATGATGATGAGATGGCTCGCCTGGGCTCCTGCCATGCTGAGTAGATTCGCTTTTTTTTAGATTTATTTTTTAAATTTTTTTATTGGAAAGGCGGATAGACTGAGAGGAAGATCCTCCGTTCGATGATTCACTCCCCAAGTGAGCACAACAGGCAGATACTATGCCGATCCGAAGCCAGGAGCCTCTTCCGGGTCTCCCACGCGGGTGCAGGTCCCAAAGCCTTGGGCCGTCCTCGACTGCCTTCCCAGGCCACAGGCAGGGAGCTGGATGGGAAGCAGGGCCGCCGGGATTAGAACCGGCACCCATATGGGTTCCCGGGGTTGCTAGGCGAGGACCTTTAACCATTTGCACCACCACGCCGGGCCCGTAGATTCACTTTTTAAAAATAATAGCCTGGGGCCCGGAGCAGTGGCGCAAGTGGTTAAAGGTCCTCGCCTAGCACGCCCGGGATCCCATATGGGCGCCGGTTCTAATCCCGGCAGCCCCGCTTCCCTTCCAGCTCCCTGCCTGTGGCCTGGGAAAGCAGTCGAGGACGGCCCAAAAGCTTTGGGAACCTGCACCCGCGTGGGAGACCCAGAAGAGGCTCCTGGCTTCGGATCGGCATAGTATCGGCCCGTTGCGCTCACTTGGGGAGTGAATCATCGGACGGAAGATCTTTCTCTCTGTCTCTCCTCTCTCTGTATATCCGCCTTTCCAATGAAAAAATAATAAAAATAAATCTTAAAAAAAAATAATAGCCTGATGGAGCTAGTGTGGGTGTTGACAGCCTGTGTGGGCACAGTTCATGCCCTTACCTTCTGTCCAGCTCGCACTGGGTCTGATTCATTGCAGACCCTGTGGGCAGCAGTGGAGGCTGCCATGGTGAGGCTCCTGCTTCACTGTGGACATTGGGAGACTGAGGCAGCCAGTAGTAGCTTTCTGTTTTTCTTATATTTAAAAAAAATTTTTTTAAGTTAACACTATTATTTGAAAGACCAAGTTTCAGAGAGGGAGAGATCTTCCATCTGCGATTTTACTCTCCAAATGCCTGCAGCTCCTGGAGTTGAGCTGGTCTGGAGCCAGGAGCTTCCTCTGGATCTCCCACACGGGTGCAGGGTTCCAAGGCTTTGGGCCGTCCTCCACTGCATTCCCAGGCCACAAGCAGGGAGCTGGATGGGAAGTGGAGTAGTCAGGACATGAACTGGCATCCATATGGGATGCTGGTACCAAAGGTAAAATTAACTTGCTGTGCCACCGAGTCACCCCTCTTTCTCCATCTGATTTCAGGAGGTCAGCTTTTAGTGTAGTAGCTGAAGCTGCCACCTATAGTAGCAGCTTCCCTTACAGGGACCATTTGATGCTGGCTGCCCCACTTGTGTATCTCGTTTCCTGATATTAGCCTGAGACGGCACTGGGAGATGCCCCGTGGGGCTGTGGCTTTGACACATGTCGAAATGCAGATGAAGCTCGTGCCGTGGCCCTGCCGCCCCAGCCTTGCTGGTCATGTGGGGAGCGAGCCAGTAACTGAGATACTCTCACTCTCATTCTCACTTTGATTTTCAAATTAGTGAGTCTTTATAATCGTTTATTGCAAACCTGTTCATTTTTTTTTTACAAATTAGTAAAGTCCAGAAATGCTAAATGTTTTCCACAAAAGATATGTAAAAAGTCATACTTTTATCATTTTAAAACGTGCATGTGTCTTTAACCAAAAAAGAAAAAAAAAAAGATCTATTTATTTATTTGAAAGAGTTACAGAGGAAGAAACAGATCTGCTGGACTACTGCCCAAGTGGCCGCAATGAAGGGCACGGAGCCAATCCGACACCAGAAGCCAGGAGTTTCTCCTGGTTTCCCATATGTGCGCAGGGGTCCAGGGACTGTTGACAGAAAATGGAGCAGCCAGGGCTTGAACTGGTGCCCGTGTGAGATCCCAACACCGCAGCCAGAAGCATTTCTTGCTATGCCCTGTCCCTGAGGAGAAGTGAAGTCTCAGACCCTTCCCCAGTGCTCACTTAGTGTTTGTGTTTGGTCCTGGGCCACGCTATGCCAGCAGACGTGCCATTATGTGGCAGAGGCAGAGTGTGCCTTCTGTCCGGCTCCCAGCGGCAGGTGGGGGACAGGGACCCAGTGCTGACGTCACTCCAAGTGCTGTTGGTGCTTGTTAGTGTGCACATGCTAGAGAAAGTACCTTTTGGACTGTTGATGCTTGTTGGTTTCATTTGTCAAATTGTACGTGTCATGCAGGTACCCCCGACTGAGACAGTTCCTCAGGTCAAAAAAGAAAAACACAGCACACAGGCTAAGAACCGGGCCAAGAGGAAACCTCCGAAAGGCATGTTTCTTTCCCAGGAGGACGTGGAGGCTGTGTCTGCCAACGCCTCTGCTGCCGCCACGGTGCTGAGGCAGCTGGACATGGAGCTGGTCTCCATCAAGCGACAGGTAAGGTCAGCTCAGGCCCTGCTCGGGTGGGTGCTTTTGTTTTTCTCCAGTTCTGCCCTTTAGGTAAGCATCAATGTGCTGTTGTTTCCCAGCAAATGGGTCATTGTTCGGTTCTGTCGAGTCGGCTTGTCCCCAGCGGACTTGAAGCATTATAAGCAAAAGGAGCGTGTATAGGTGTGCGTCTGTGCTCAGTGACTCATCCAGGGCCCACGTGTTGTGCCCACCAGTGCTCCCCACGCCTCGCTCACCCCTCTGTCCCCTTGTGACGCCCTCTCTTCCGCAGCTCAGGAGAGGCTGCATTTGTAAGACTGCAGGCTGTTTCTGCTGTTTCTAGATGTTCCGTGAACAGCCATGCTGTGCTTGCGTGTTTTCCTCCCTGCGAGGAGGCTGACCCATGGACTCGCCGTTCTGTTGTCGTGTGCGTGGGCCGCTCTCGTCAGCCGCCCGTGACTACACCGTGGGGTGGCACTGCGGGGCTGTGCTGTGTGTTACTCACGCTTGTGCGCCCGGTGTTGAATGTGCTCCTGGATGTGAGGTGCTCTTGCAACTCACCCTGCTTTTTAAATTCTGTACTTGGTGTGTGCCCACTGCGTAGAAAGGGCTCATCATTGTTCCTGCCAGTGTGCATTTGGACCGAACATGCAGCCTAGGAGTGCAGGTGGTCTGTGCCTTGGCTCTCTCTCCTTCTTGCCAGATTCAGCTCAGAAACACTGGCCGTGTTGTGGAGTGACAGCTTGGTTCTGGGCCTCGTGCTCCTGGTTGGTTAGTCTCCTAGGAAGGTGAAGTGGAGGTCTGTGCTGTCTTCCTTCCTGCAGGGCTTCCTGAATAATGCCAAGTTTGTTACGGTGGGAGTTGACACCCCACCTGGACTGCAGCACAGCTGTGCTCTCATCTCAGGAGAATCACTTAATCTCCTTGGGCCTCCAGGCAAGATGAGTGTGTTCTGGCGTGACCTCTCAGGGACCCCCAGAGCACAGGCGTGTGCCGTGGGAGAGCTCTGTGCCCACCACCTCTCGCAGAGGGCTCCCTCCTCTGCTCAGGGGCCACCCAGCCATGATCATTTGTTGAGGCAACACAATGGGCTCTTGGTCTCCAGAGTTGAGCGCTTGCTTGGGAGCTAGCTCCGCACTGCTGTCTGCCTGGCCCCATGGCATGGTGCCACACTGCAGGCACTCGTGGTCGTCGGGTGGCAGGTCGTCCCTGGTCAGTTATGCTTCAGGACTTGGTTTCTTGGGCCCAGCGGCGTGGCCTAGCAGCTAAAGCCCTTGTCCCGAACATGCTGGGATCCCATATGGGTGCCAATTCTAGTCCCAGCAGCTCCACTTCCCACCCAGCTCCCTGCCTGTGGCCTGGGAAAGCAGTCGAGGATGGCCCAAAGCCTTGAGACCTGCACCCACGTGGGAGACCTGGAGGAAATTCCTGGCTCCTGGCTCCTGGCTCCTGGCTCCTGGCTCCTGGCTCCTGGCTCCTGGCTTCGGATTGGTGCAGCACCGGCCGTTGCAGTCACTTGGGGAGTGAATCATTGGATAGAAGATCTTCCTCTCTGTATATCTGACTTTGCAATAAAAATAAATAAATCTAAAAAAAAAAAGAGAGAGAGAGGACTTGGTTTCTTGGTTTCTTTCATGTGTCTCCCGAGGTAAGTTTCACGGTTCCTCCTGGAGACTTAGGCGAAGAGGTGCACACTGCAGCAGGCCTTTACTTCCCGGTGTGCTGCTCTCCATAATACGTTTCAGCCACGAAAATATATATGTGAATACTCGATTAGCTATGTCTGTTTACTTTACATGTGTTCTGTCAGGGAGAACATACGATATTTGTCCATTTGGGACTAGCTTATTTCACCGAGTATGATGATCTCCAGTGGGGAGCTGGTCTTTTTAATGTCCTTTGAGAAGAGTGTTTTGTAGTCTCTTCCACCCTGTAAGGAACCGCGAAGCCGTCTGGCTGTGCAGTTGTAAGGCTGTGTTGCTCTGAGTCAGCACAGTGTTTTCGTAGGCTAGTCCTGCCATGTGAGTGCTGGTTCAAGTCCTGGCTGCTCCACTTCCCAGTCCATCTGTCTGCATATGGTCTGTCCTCTTCCCTACTCTGAGGCCTCAGCTGTGGTCTTTGGTCAGGGAAACTCCTCCAGCCTGTGCCTCCTCTAGAAATCTGGACAAAAAAGCAGGAGGAAGGATGTGTAAACTGTGCAATTCTCTAAACTGGGAGCACTTGACAATCTTGAATTTCAGAAAGTGGTGTGAGTGTACCAAGTCATCCGAACAGATCCTGGGAGGTGCGCGGGATCGTAGGGGAAGCACGCGAGTGGTTACTGAGCCTGCATCCCATATGTGGGTGCCTCGTTTCAAATCCCAGTCACCTGCAGGGGAGACCGAGGTTGGAATCTGGGCTTTGCACTTAGTCCGGCCAACCCTGGCTATCAGGAATGTGAACCAGTGGATAGAAGATCTATTTCTGCTTTTCAGCCTTTCAACTTAAAAGGAATAAATAAAAATTGTCCTCAGAAGATGCCTGTGTAACTGACATGCGCCGCCCTCTTCCTCCTGTCTGACCTTTACTGCCCTGCAGCCCAGGCTGTGGTCTGCTGAGGAGCATCTTCTAATCATCAGTGTCTGATTTTCTTAGGAAAATTTGCTTGCTTGTTCTCTTGCTTTCTTAAAAGCGCCCTCTTTTCATGAGGTCAAGGAAGGAATCCGCTTTGCACAGGCCATGGGAGGATGGGAGAAGCGCCTTCCCCAGCGAGCTGCCTGGTCCGCCCTAGGCAGTGGCAAGCTGATGTGGTGTGTTGAACTAGAAAAGTCAGCTAGAGAAAGACAGTTGCTCCAGGTGTGGCTTGAGGGGCCTGCTTGATGGGATGCAGCACGGCGCCGTGTGGGGTCCCTGGAGGCCGACCTGAAGCCTCTGCTGTGTCCTGTGTCCTGTGAGCCGCTCCCTGTCTCCCTCAGCACCCCGTACCTGTCCCACGTGGGTGGGTCTGTGACAGCGTGTTCAGGGACACCACCTAGATCCCAGAAGTTGGAACGGCTCTGCTCTTGGTTCCTTTCTTTGCTTGTACTGAATTTATCAGTTTTGTTTTATTTGCATACATTTATGAAAGTTTTCCTTTTTAAAATGAAACTTTTTTTCCATTTAGATTCAAAATATTAAACAGACAAACAGTGCTCTCAAGGAGAAGCTGGATGGTGGAATAGAAGCTTACCGACTTCCGGAGGTAGGGCTGTGTGAGGGTCATCGGGTCTGTGTCCTCCCGGGCACTGGTCAGGTCTGTCCTCCCGGGCACTGGTCAGGTCTGTGTCCTCTCGGGCACTGGTCAGGTCTGTGTCCTCCCGGGCACTGGCAGGTCTGTCCTCCCGGGCACTGGTCGAAGCTGCTGCTTGGGGCCCTGACATCATGTGTGCTGTTTCCGCTTCCAGCCCAGCTTCCTGCTAATGAGCAGGTTATGGTGCAGATACTCGGACCTCTACCACCCACTTGAGAAAGCCTCGTGGCTCCTGGCATAGCCGTGTGTGTGATGGGCGGCTGGGGAGTGCGCTCAGTGAATGAGACGCCTGCAGTACCCACGTCACCTCCAGTGTGTGTCTCTTAGGAAGAAAGGCTTAGCGATCGGATTTCTCCAGCACGTGTCTCATATCAGAGTCCTGGGTTCAGAACCCATGTCCAGGCCCCACCCCATTTGTTACTACTTGAAAAGCAGAGAGATTTCCACCTGCCTTCAAAAGTCAGAGACAGGCCAGGACCTCAGGACCAGAACCTGTCACGGAGCTGCAGGGACCCCAAGGGCTTGAGCTCTGGCTTGCTGCCTCCGGCCCTCCCCTGTGGGGTCAGGTGCTGCAGGGGGCATCCGGACACAGCAACCTGCTCTGAAGCAGTGGTGGCTCGCACTTGGGGCCTGACATGCACATGCGAAAGTGTGTACTGAGTTCCCACGCCCAGCTGTGGCCCATCATCGTGGGCATTTGGTACGTGAAACAGTGGGCGGTAACTTGCTCTCCTTGTCCCTCTCAATTAGAAGCACAGGATTAAGACAGAAAGAAGGCCAGCCTGGAAAACAGCTGTGAAACAAAGAACATGGAAAGATCTAGACAGCTGCATGCGCCCTTGCTGAAGCTGAGCTCCGGGAGTCACTGCGCCTGTAAGGGACACAGTCATCTAACTCGATGTGCTCAAGCTGTCGTTTGCTTTCCCAGGTCATTCAGAAATGCAACGCGCGTTGGACCACAGAAGAGCAACTGCTTGCCGTCCAAGGTAGGGGCCCCTCAGCGGGCCAGCGCCGTCCCTCCCGCCTGTGCGTGTTCTGAGGCACTGTTGCTTCAGTCGGGGCACTGTCGTTCCTGTGGGCATACCTCTTTCTCCCCTCCTGCTTCTTGTAAGTTATAAAAGTTTACGTGGTGCCTCCGTGTGTGAATTTCCTGTCAGTGGCTCAGGGCTGAGCTGTTACTAGAAGGGACGAAGTGACAGCAGCAGGTACATGGGAGAACTCCTGGGCACGGGCACTGCAGTGGCACAGTGCACGGGCAGCCATCTGTCTGCGTCATGCAGGGCGGTGCGGGCACCTGCGCTAACCTGGCTCCACCCACTGATGCTTACTCCCCTCCCAAAATGGCGCCTGCTACCTTTCTTAGTTGGAGGAGGAAACAAAATGTGGTTTTTAAAATTGCTTTCCTGTTTTATTGAACAACAACGACGATGCTCTCTCCCACCCCAGCCATCCGGAAGTACGGTCGGGACTTTCAAGCCATCTCGGACGTGATTGGGAACAAGTCAGTAGTCCAAGTCAAGAACTTTTTTGTGAATTACCGACGCCGCTTCAACATAGACGAAGTCTTACAAGAATGGGAAGCAGAACATGGGAGAGAGGAGTCCAGCGGGCCCAGGTCGCAGAGAGCAGCCACATCCCCCGGGGACTGTGCCAAGACGCTTGAGGAGGATGGCGAGGTAAGATGGCACTCTTCCCTGCCACCTCATGCCCGCGTTCGCTTGACTTCTCAACTGCAGAAACGTGTTTAGGTTTCAGCTACATCAGTAACTTATGCTGGTGATTGACAGGATGTGTGTTGATTCCAGTCAGTTGGTGGTCACAGTTAAATTACTTAGCAAACTATGTGCGAGCTGTGAGGGAAACAGAAAGTCAAAGTACCTCAAGGATGGTGAGCCTGCCTTCTCTCAGGACCTGGCTCCCCGTGTGGGGCTCCCCGTGAGTACTGCCCGTGTGGGGCTCCCCGTGAATACCGCCACACAGCCCAGCAGGCCTCACGGTGGACGGGAATGGCGCCTGGCTTTCTTACCGAGGCTGAGACTTCAGCATGGCAACGGACTCTAGTAATGGACCGGGTGGTGACGCTGGTGGCTGGCGTCAGCACAGCCGCTGAGGCCTCTGGCCCCGTCTGCTGCCTCCCTGCTCGGCAGAGGCCTCCCCACGACATGCAAGCTTGATGGTGGGTGGGGGTGTCCTGTTGGCTCAGTTGTTCAGAGCCCCTGATGCTGGGCTGGCTTCAGAAGCTCCAAGAGTGGGCTGCTGCTGTGGCAGTGAGTTAAGCCGCTTGCTGTCAGCTCCCTGGTTCCACACTGGGTGGGTAGTGGAAGCTGGTGGAAGTGCAGGAGACACAGATGGAACTCCAGGCCCCAAGTTGCAGCCTGGCCCTTCTCTGGTGTTTGTAACCTTTTGGGAAGTTGAAACTGTCATCCTCTTTGTGCAAAACTGCCTTAGGAATAACTAAATCTTTTTAAAATTCTGAAGTAAAGTTTGGACCAAGATTCAGCATCACTAAGAGGTCATTGGGACCTGGAGAGGTCGGCCCTCACGCCCGAGGCGGATTGGACAGTTGAAGAGAGCAATCTCACTTGGAGTGCAGAGTGCTGGTGTGAACTGGCACGGTGCTCCCAGGTGGCCTCAAGTGGCCGCGTTCTGGCTCCTTGTCCTGGCTGTGTGTCCACAGCTCAACAGCTGGAGGACTGTGGCGACCCCAGGCCATTGTTGGCCCTGGACTGTGGAGAGGGGAGTGAGAGATGCCTGCAGGGCTTTAGGACAAAGTCGTGGGAGAGGCTCCTTCCTGGCCCAGCTGTTGGGAGTACCACCTCCCTCCGGCCAGTGGGGCTGATGCCAGGCTCTACCACCTAAGCTGTGCCATTCTTGGCTATTTTTGTTGCCATCTGTGATGGGCATCATTCAAGGAAGTGAGAGCTCACCCCGGTCAAGGTTTGCCAGGTGGGCTCCTGCCCTGGCAGCCATGCTTACTACCTTCCTGCTCATGGAGCCTCTCTCCTCTCTCCAGGCAGCTTCTGTGCTTGACGTTCGATACGCCTCTGCCTCCTGAGACACGCTGGTCGCTCGGGACCCTGGGGGTGGACTGCTGTGCCGGATTTCAGCTATTCCGACATCACCTCGCCATCTGCATCACTTCCCTGTGGACAAGCAGCTATTACCAAAGAGGCACGTACTCCCAGGCCTCGTGCTGCATCTGCCTTAATTCCCTGCTCGGTCCTCTGGCAGCGTCACTTCCTCTCACGCTGCCTGCGTGCTGGGGCCTCTGCAGCCCGAGCCCCTGCTGGCTCCCAGTCGGCGGTCTCCTCAGAAGGCGTGGCTCTGTTCCCGCATGGCCTGCGAGCTCTACTTTGTGCACAACGTCTTGTTTGGAGTGACTGAGACCCTGTTGGCCTTGTAGAAAGTGTCTCCTGTTGGTTCTGAGCAGCCCTCGGCACACAGCGTGCTTCTGTGGCGTCGCAGACTGCAGCAGGCCCTGTCATGCCGGTGTCCTGATGGCGTCTCCTGTCCCCCACGCTCAGTTGGCTGACTCCCCTTGCCCTCTCCTCTGCGTGGCAGCAGTGCCCAGGTGCTGCCTCGGCCCTCTCTGCCTTCAGCCCTCAGCCCCAGCTCTCCCGCACCCAGCACCACTCCCTGCTCCCAGAAACCCAGTCCCTCACCGGACCTGGTGCTCGTATACGGCCTTGGTGCCTTCTCCTTCCGGCAACCACGTGACCGCCCTTCTCTGTTGTAGCGTCTCATTTCTTTAAGGTTTACCGCTTGCCAAAGATGACATCCCTGAGATGAGGAGACGGGAGAGCTGCTGCAGGCTGGCAGCGTGCGTGTGCCCGCACAGAGCTGGGCAAGGCTCGGGAACACGCTGTCATCTGTGCTCATGCCCTGGCTGTGCCTGGCCTGTTCTGTGTCACTCCGCGTGTCTGGTGTGTCCTTCATGTACTGGCGGGACCACAGGCCTTTCCTCTCCCGGTGTTAGCGCACAGGACGCAGAGTGATCGGTGTGCTGGTCTCAGGGCAGCCTGATGGCAAGGAACTCCAGCAGGTGACGTGTGATGTCCCCTCCGCGCGCTCGCGGCCTGAGCCTGCCAGGCGCTGTGAGTGGAGCCCAGAGCCCCAGGCCCGCCCTCAGCCGTCGCGCGCCGCACTACAGGTGTTAAAGTAGCTTTTGTTGCTTTTACTTACATCACTTAAATACTTTGTTCTGCTTCCAAAACCAAAAAGAAAGAACCTGCAGATGCTTGAAGGCGTAACCAGAATTCTGAAGAATTTAAAATATGCAATTAGATGTGCTGTTTCGACTTCACGCACCTTGCTGTTTTTGCTTTGTTTTAAAGTCCACTGATTTTCTCTTTAGAAAGAGGGTCAGTTAGAAACCTAGATTTTTTGGAATTATGCATTCTCTTTTAGAAGTTTGGAGAAAGGTCACTCGTGGGGGACAGTGAGTGGGACTTTGCTGTCTCTTGCCGTCTTGTTCTTGTACAAGGTGTCTGCTGGTCCAGGAAAGCCTGCAGTGAGCAGCGTCAGGAGCCCCGGCTCACTGGTCCTGCCTGGTGACAGGGTAGCAGCGTAACACTCGTACCAGGGTGGGCTTGTTAGCCGCCTGCCGGGCCAGGGCGGGCCAGCACAGACACACGAGGAGCCGCTCTGCGTTTTGCACAAGGCTAGAAGGGGCCACTGGGCCTGACCGGGAGGGCGTACCCAGGCCCTTGCTCCAGGGATTGGGCGCTCGGTGCCCAGCCCGCCCTGCGCACTGTGGCGAGGGGAGCAGCACTGGCTGTGGTCCTCTGTCCTCCACGCAGTCCCTTCCTTTGGCGCCGGCGCCCCGGTGTCTGTGCTGGAGCTCCAGCCATCGCAGCAGCCCCGTGAGCTCTCGTCCCCGGGGAGAGGGGTCCACCCGGTCGTGGTGTTGCTTCACCAGCAAATCGCACTGCGTTCTAGACTTCTTTTCCTTACACTGTCTGCAATGATGTAAATGCAAGAGTCACTTAGCTTCAGAAGCTAAATGGTGTGGTCTTATTTATGTGAAGGCCTCGGGCGCACTGGTAGGTGCTGTTTGGGGCGTGGTCGTTGCTACAAAATGGAATGTTCCCTTAAGCATTGTCTTTCAAATGATCAATGTGAATGTCATAATTATATATTTTTGTGGGAAATTTCTCCTAAGTATAAGTTATTGTGCAAAATATAGTAATGTTGACGCAAATAATAGTTTAACTTTTAGTTTAGAAATCCTAAAAGATATAAATTGTGTTGCGTATGCATTAAAAGTTTTATTTAATTTTATGTAGATGTGTAAAGTTAGGTAGAAGTTTTTCACTTATCCATTTAAACACCTGTTACTTGAATATTGTGTTGACTGGCCTGCAGCAGTGATGATGGGCGGGTTCTGGAGCAGTTCTGCCCGCGGCGTGCCCACCCTGGTGGTGTGCGGGCAGGCCCGGGCACACCCTCCCTCTTGTCTTGGTGGCTTTGCCAGGACCCCATCCTCAGGGTGGCTTCAGCAGCTCCTGTGATGGTCACAAACCTGTCCTTGAAACACAAAGATGAGTGATTTGGGCTTTGGAGGCTCCCTGTAGTGGGCCGATTGCACACGCCACTGTCAGCGTGTTATTGTCGCTTTAACCTCCGACAATGCCCTGTTCTTGTCTTTCTAAATAGCAGATGTACTCTTGGTATAATTGCACACCAAAAATAAGCCAAACAGTGCATTACACTAACTGGATCCCTGCTTTTATAAAAGTGAGCGAGGGAGTGAGGAAGCCTGCCCCCACGAGAGCCACTTAGCCTCTCGCCCAGCCGTGTCTCGGTCGCATCACCCCGGACTCCGCTTCCAGTGCCCAGTGGAGCTTTCCCTCAGATTGACCCCCCCGCAGCCCGGTGACCTGCGTCGGGGTCCCCTGCGCAGTGCACGCGGCCGCACCCCAATCTGCAGCTCGCCCCGCCTACAGGGAAGCACAACTGCAATGCCGCTGCGGTCCAGCAGAAGGCAGGCCAGTCCACAGTCTATGCATGTTGTAAGGTAATGCGTGTTTACAGTCGCCGCCTCCTGCAGCCAGCATTGATACTGGAGTGGATAGTACCCGTTATGTAGACTTACCAATTTTGCTAAGTGCTTTTTAGACTGCTTAAAAATTTTTCCAGATTTTAAAAGATGTATAAGGTTAAGTTTGCAAATATAATGGAAATGCTGTATATCTTTTGAAGTGATAAACCCATGTTGGAATTTTAAAGAAAATACATTGTGATAACGCGGGTGTAGGTGCTGCTTGCCTGTCTCTGCCTGTTCCCTGCTCGGCACACCTGCCGTGCCAAGCAGCCATAGCAGCACAAGCGCTTACCCAGATGTTGAATGGCAACTTTTGTTAGTAGAAATTGGAAAATTTATTTGTGGAATTCTGCAGAATTCATTTTCTATTTCCAATATTTGCTGAAGTTAAATAAATTTCAAGCCTTTGCAGTAACAGAGACAGAATGGAAGCACCTTGTGCCCCACCCAGCCCTCCTGCGGCCTCGCACCACACGGGCCGCGGTGAGCGTGGCCCCGGACGACTTCCCCGCCATGCCTCGGGAAGGCGGGCTTTCCCACCACCAGCAGCTGTCTGTCTTCCTCATGCCCAGCCTTGCACCAGCTCCTGGAGGCTGAGGTCCGTTCCCCTGACCCAGTCCTGGCAGCATGGAGACCTGCTCTGCCTGGCATGGAACAGGGGTCAGCTAGTGGCTGCTGGGACGCAGCACTGCCCTGAACAGAGCACTCAGTAGGTAGGTTTGTCTGCGCCCTGGGGCATCTGGGGTGAGGGCTGGGCTCCTTGGGACTTCACAGAATGTCCCAGGGCCAGTCCTGCAGGAGGATAGCCAGCTCCTCGGCCTGTCCTCAGGCGGCATTTGGAGAGGCCGTCAGAGGTCACTGTTTGATTTTATGGAGAGCAGGGGGAGCAAGGGCCAAGGGCTTCCTGCCCTGAGACTGGAGGGAGAGGAAAGTAAAGAAGGAGTGATATGGAGTGGGGCCAGTGTTGTAGCACAGGGGGTTAGCTGCCTGCATCCCACAGGAGTGCTGCTTTAAGTTCCCACCTCTTCCCTTCCGTCTAGCTTCCCACGGATGCACCTGGGAACGCAGTGGAAGATGATTCAAGTGTGTGTGTGTTTTTTAAGATTTATTTAATTTATTGGAAAGGCAGGTGTACAGAGAGGAGGAGAGACAGAGAGGAAGCTCTTCCGTACGATGATTCACTCCCCAAGTGAGCGCAACGGCCGATGCTATGCCAATCCGAAGCCAGGATCCAGGAACTACTTCTGGGTGTCCCACATGGGTGCAGAGTCCCAAGGCTTTAGGCTGTTCTTGACTGCTTTCCCGGGCCACAGGCAGGGAGCTGGATGGGAAGTGGAGCTACCAGGATTAGAACTGGCGCCCATATGGGATCCCAGTGCATTCAAGGCGAGGACCTTAACCACTATGCTGTTGTGCTGGGCCCAATTCAAGTGTTTGAACCACTAATACCTGTGTTGAATATTTGGCTTTGCCTGACCCAACCCCCCACCTTGCAGCCATTTGGAGAGTGAACCAGTGAATAGAAGGTCCTTTCTCTCCCCTCTGATTTACCAGTAAGACAGGGAGGGCGTAGCTGAGGGTGGCCCTCCCCGACGTGGACTTACTGCATCACTTCTTGGATGGGAGGCGTCCGCTGTGGCTCTCTCGCTTGATTGTGTGCGTGGTGCCACTTGGGGGTGGACACAGGCAGCAGCTCATGGGGTCTGAGCAGGAAAACGCCCGTGTCCAGTTGTTCATGGGCCCCTTCTTGGCCTCGCCTCATGCAGTCTCACCTGGGTGCTCACACATGGCAGGCCCTTCTGTCCATACTAGATGCGATGGAATGCAGTCCTGTAGGACACAGTGTCCGCCCCCCAGCCAGCCCAGCACCTCCCCCCCGTGCGGTGTCCCCCCAGCCAGCCCAGCACCTCCCCCCATGCGATGTCACCCCCAGCCAGCCCAGCACCTCCTCCCCGTGCGGTGTGTCCCCCCCCCCAGCCAGCCCAGCACCTCCCCCCCGTGTGGTGTCCCCCCAGCCAGCCCAGCACCTCCCCCCCGTGTGGTGTCCCCCCAGCCAGCCCAGCACCTCCTCCCCGTGTGGTGTCCCCCCAGCCAGCCCAGCACCTCCCCCCCGTGCGATGTCACCCCCAGCCAGCCCAATATCTCCCGCCCCCCCGCTGATCTGCTCGCCAGTGCTCCTGCCTCCTGCTCCTTATCTGACTCGCTTTCTCTGTGTTCGCAGCACTGGACACCAGCCCTCATGGTGTTCTGGTGAAACCTGGCCACAGTCGGTGCTGCAGGCCGTCTGCTACATGGAAGAGATGGTGACGACACCGCAGTGTGATGGTGCCTCTTAGTGTCTTTGGCAGCTTCTGTTCTTGCCTTGGCATCCAGCAAGTGAAGGTACTCGGAGGTACCCGGCTTGCTCGCCTTGGCCTGGCACAGCGGGTGTGTGAGCCATCACAGGCTGCCATTCACTCGCTGCCTCTGCAGGCTCAGGGCTCCACACCTGAGGGATGGAGCCACGGCATGGCCAAGGTGAGCCCCTGCGTGGCCCTGACACCCCCGCAAACAGCAGCAGACGGGCCTGGCATGGTGGCTCAGTTAGCTAATCCTCCCCATGTGGGTGCTGGTTCCTAGTCTAGCTGCTGCACTTCCCATCCAACTTCCTGCTTGTAGCTTGGGAAAGTGGTGGATGCTAACCCAAGTCCTTGGGACCCTGCACCCATGGGAGACCCGGAGGGAGCTCCTGGCTTCAGATCAACAGCTGTAGCTATTGTGGCCATTTGGGAGTGAATCATAAGGTTTGCTCTGTAAACCTGTGTTTCCAATAAAAATAAGATACTTTAAACTGCAACAGCAAAAAGAAGGAGGCAGCTCCCTGCCTCCACCATCTAGCCCTGTTCTCTCCATTGGCATTCGCAGCATGGGCGCGCACATGCTGCTCTGCGCCTTGCTTGTTGCTGAGCCTCGGATCTCTTCCCATGGGAGCCTCCCGGATCGCTGTGTGGCTGTGAGCGGCGTCCAGCACCCGTGTGCCGCCGGACTCGGCTGTGTGCTGGCTGACGCTCGGCACTCGCCACCTTGCCTGCTGCAGCAAGAGCACTTCCTGAGGTGCCCTCCCAGCTGCTTTAGCACCAGGCCGTCAGCACCTGAGGTGCCCCCCAAGCCCACAGGACGGGCCCTAAGGCTGAAGAGCTGGAGTGCAGACGGTGAGTCCTCAGTGCCCAGAGAGGCCGAGCAGCGCCTGTTACCTGTGCTGGGAAGATCTGCTGGCAGGCTGTAGAGAGGTTGTCGCTGGTGTCCTGCTGCTCCGAGTCCAGCACTGGCTGGCCAGCCCTGAGCAGACAGCCTTCCCCAGGCTCCCAAGGGACCAGTGGCAGGGCAGGACACCCCTTCCCTTTGGGTTCACGGCAGCTTGGCCCTGCTCTCCTGTACCCCCAGCTGGGCATGCCCAGGCCTTCCTCGGGTGGTCCGCCTCCCCTGCTGTTCCTCCGGGGCTCGAGCCACAGCGGCCTGCCTTGGCTCAGCCGGAGCCTTGGCCAGCTCTTTGAAGCCAGATTGTTCCTGGCTGGGAACTCCTCGTTCTTCCATTCTTTCTCATTCTGGATTCCCTCAGCCACTGAAAGAGACAAGGAAACGAGGAAAGAGAGCAGGCCTGTCTCCAGGATGCTCGGGAAACTGGAGGGCAGTCGGGGAGACACAAGGTGGGAAGCTGGGGCCGGTGCTGTGGGGTTGCATGCTAAGCCTCTGCCTTTAGCACTGCAGCCCACAGAGGAGCCTGTTTGAGTTCCAGTGTGCGTGGGAAGCAGCCCAAGTCCATCGGCCCCTGCACCCACCCATGCAGGGGATCTGGAAGAAGCTCCTGGCTTCAGACTGTTCCATCTGGGGAGTGAGCCAGTGGGTGAAGATGTCTCTGAAACTAAGCTTCAAATACATATGAATATCATAAGCGAAGTAGCGTTAAAAGAATCCCAGGGTCACCAAGCTGGGGCTGGTGCCTGGGTGCCCTCACACATGGTGGTGTGCCTGGCGGCAGAGCCAGCTCCTCTGCTTGCAGCCTGTCGTCCCAAGGTCCACCCCGGAGGACAGCAAGTTCTCAAGCCCCTGCCACCCACCAGAGACACTTGGATGGCAATATGGACGCCTGGCCTCAGCCCGGCCCAGCCCCGGCCCTTGCAGCCATTTGGACATTGAAGGAGAGAGTGAGAGATACGTTTCTCTGTCATTCCACCTTTCAAAGCTTTAAGAAAGAAATGCGAGTGTCTTAAGTGAAAGCTCCTTGAGGGATTTGTGAGCAGAATTGAGCATTATTAGGACCGGAAGGCAAAGACGCCGAGGTCCCTGGGTGAGGAACAGAAGGGGTGTGTAAGCAGAGCTGCGGCAGCTGCCAGCCTCAGTGGGCGTCCACCCTGTCCCTCTGGGCAGTAGTGGGTAGAGGAGCAGTGGGCCTCAACTCGGGGTGTGAGGAAGTAATGAATGCCCGGTAAGGTGTCAGGCCAGACTGGAGACCAGGGCACCGGTCCCCAGGCAGGGAGGGTCACTGAATCTCTGTGTCAGGCTGCAGAGGCCAGAGGCAGCACCAAAAAGGACACGGCCATGAAAGGGATTCCTGAGCAGGACTCTGCTCTACCGGGCTCCCTGCCAACAAGCCCCTTAAAGGGCACCCCGTAATTGGAACTGTGTGAACACACCCAGCCCACTGTGACTGTCATGGCTCCCCGCTTCCCTGCCGTACTCAGTAAAGTCCTGTGCCCTGCAGGCCTGGGAAGTTAAACATTTGAACGTGCAATATGGTTTCCCTTGGATGTGGGTTATTTTCACAGCATCTTCAAAGAATGCAGCGGGCCCTCCTGTGTCAGCATCCGAGACTGAAGTGAGAGTGAACGGCCGCTGGCGGCCCTCAGGGCACACTGCTCTGTTCTCCACAGGAACGAAAGGCATCATTAAAACACTGCATTCTTAGAGCTAGCCTTAGTGTCGATCTTGGTTTTTCCCTTGTAGCATAAATTAAAAGGCTTGTGCAGTCAAGTGGACTGTCAGCTTGGTTCTGGACACACGGTATCTGCAGATGTGATTCAGGGACTGACAGGATTGGTGATGAAACAAATTCAATAGCAAGAGAACAAGCAAAAGGAAAAGACACTTGAGTAGGCATCGCTCAGTGCACGTGGCCAGCAGGTGCACAGTGCCGCGGGGCTTCACTCGTGGACAGGAAACAGCTGCAACCGCTGAGAGCCGTCCCCGTGCATCTGGTCGCTGCTGGAGAGCGAGCTAGAACTGCCGCAGCATGAAGCAAGCATGTGTGGGAGGCAGCTCCGTGCCCGTGCTGGCCGAGATGGAACCGAAGCTGTGATCAGCGAGTGAGCGGGTGAGGCAGCTGTGTGCACAGTAGGGTACCGTTGCACTGTCGAAGGGAGTTGTGGAGTGGGCACTGAGGGGAAGCCACTGTGTGGACACCTGCAGCCCCCTCATGGTGCAGCAGCACTCCTGACCCAGCTCCTTGCTGAGGGGCTCAGGGACCTCCCTCCACCCCCTCTGTCCCTCAGACAGGCCCAGGAACAGGCTATCAAGTTTCGGAAGAGCTGTCCACCCTTTGCTTTTCACCCGTTTTGGGGCAGTTGACATCCCCACCTGGCCTAGATGAGCTAGTGATCATGTCCTCCTTATGCGTCCGGACGTGCTGCCCACTGCACAGGCATCAGCTGAGGAGGTCCAGTCCCAACACGCGTTCTGAGGTCGGACCACACATCCTGTCATTTCCCATGCCCTGGGTCTAAGTCCAGCAGTTTAATTTGGGAGTCTCCCCAAGAAACCTCATCTGGGGTGACCTCAGACTTGACTCTAGTGTGCCAGCCAGTGCAGGGTCAGGTGTGGTCTGTCACCTACACCAGTGCACATACCAGTGGACACAGCTGCCTGGTCAGTTCTGCCCCCAGCCCTATTTCTCGTGCAACCTGATGCTGCAGCCTAGCCCAGCCCAGCACATGGTGCCACAAAATAGAACAATCCGCAGTAACCTCCTCAAGGCCCTTCCCCAGCCCTGGTTTTCACATGTGCCGGCCTCTACTGTGGCCTAGCCCAGCATAGCCTGTATCTCATCAGGCTCTCGAGCACATCCAGGGGTGAGCATCTTAGCTCAGGCCAACCTGCTCCCATACCCAGTCCTTTTGTGCACCCAAAGGTGCCACCACCTTATCCAGCTTGGCCCACCTCTAATTGGTTGTTGTGCTCACCAGTGTAGACACAGCCTAGCAGTGTAGACACCACAGTTCTGTTACAGGCCCGCTCCCAGTCCTGGGTCTTGCGCCTTCCTGGGGTTACTGCAGGCCAGCCTGACATGACTCACACTCAGCCCTGGCACTAGCCAGTTGGTGCTGCGTGCTAGCTCAGCTGACCCCCACCCTTTCTGACTCATGTGTGTGACTGGGCACAGCAACTGAGTCCGGTCTGACTCACCCCCAGGCCAATCCACTCCCAGCCCCAGCTCTCACACTCACCAGTGGAAGCAGCAGCCCAGCGAGGGAATCACTGCCCTACCAGACCTGCTGCCTACCCAGGTCTTGTGTTTGCCAGCAGGTACTGTGGCCCAGTCTGAGGTGGTCCACCCTCAGTATTGGCATTCACTAGTAGATGCTCCAGCCTGCTTCAGCCTGGCCTGCCCCCAATCCCAGCTATGGCCAACAAGTGTAGCAGCCTTGCCCACCCACACCCCTTATGTGAACTAGTGGGTGTTGTGGTCCAACTCTGCCTGGCTCTTGTGCCAGTGTGTGCTATAGACTGACCCTGTCCCACCCCCAGATCTGGCTCACACATATCACGATGGCTGCTGCAGCCCAGCATGATCTGGCCTCAAGTTCCTCAAGTTCCCCTACAAGACTCACTCCCAGCAATGGATCTCGCGTGTGCCAGCCAGAGGTGCTGCCCAGACAGATAATGGCCAGCCCCAGTCCTGGCACTCACCAATAGGTACTGTGGCCTAACCTCAGTGGCCCGCACCCATTCCAGCTCTCACTGCCTAGCCTGCCCCACCCCCAGACAGCTCTTCATTAACTGGTGGGTGCCACACCCTAGCCTGGCTTATCACGCACATCCTTTTGTAGTCATGCTCAGTCTGGCATTGCCACAGACACAGCCACACACGTGGCAATGGGTGCTATAGCCTTGCCCTGCCTGGTTCACCCACAGCTCAGATACTACCAGTGGGAGCTGCTGTCCAGCAGGGGAGTCCCCAGAGTTCGACCAGGCCTGTTCCGAGCCAAGTCTTGTGCATGCTGGCAAGTGCTTTGAAGCAGCCTGACCTGACCCACCCACAGTCTCGGCTCTTGATGGTGAGTATTGTCCTAGCCAGCTGGGTGTGGCCCACACCCTGTCTTGGCTGTCCTGTGTGACAGCAAGTGGTGAGGCCTAGCGCAGTCTAGGTTCTTCCAGATTTGCCCCACACAAACACAAGGGCCCCAGCCTGGCCTGACCTGCTCCAGCTCTAGCCCTCAGCAGGAGCTGCAATCTGGTAGGTTAGTTCCGCAAACTCCCCTACCAGGTCTGCTCCTGGTCCCAGAGCTCACACATGCTTGCTGGTGGGTGCAATGGCCCTGCTTGGCATGGTCTGCCCTCAGTCCTTGTGCCAGTGAGTGCTACAGTCCATCTCTGCCCGGCCTCCTCCCAGCCCCAGCTCCAGCTCTGTCAGGTGAGTTCTGTGGTCCAGCCTGGCTGAACCTGTCAGCAGCCTAGCTCTCCATACAAACTTGTGGGTGCTGTGGTCCCACGGGGGTAAGCCTACAAATCCCCTACAGAATCTGCCCCCAGTTTCTGTTCTTGCATTCTGGTGGCTGCTGCAGCCCACCCAATGGTGGCCCACCCCCTGCTCCAATACTCACAGATGGTACTGCAGCCTAGCCAGCCAGCTCTTCTCCCCAGCCCCGGCTTTTGTGTGCACCGGTGGGCAGTGGGCAGTGCTGTTGGACAGCCCATCCCAGCCCAGGTCTCCCACATGGGTGGCCGCCTTGGCCTGACCCAGACATGCCCCCTGAACCACTCCATCTCATGCAATGGTCCTGACGGTGGAAGCCCCCAGAAGTCATTGCTTCCCTGTCAGACATACCCTCGGCCACTCCTGCTCCAATCCCCAGGAAGTCTACAGCCTCTGCGTCACCCCGCCCCCAGGCCAGGGGTTAAATCACAGCCTGGGGTCGTTTGCCTTTCCCATTAACCTTTTGGGGGGGCGGGGCAGGCAACTCTGCTGGCACACTGATATAGTTGGCACTAATTTGGCATTAACACAGGTCCGAATGCCCTGCTCATTTCTCAGTATAGCATTTAACCTAGGTAAAAGGCGACCAAGGCAGTTGCCTGCAGCTGGGCTTCCAAGTCCTTTTAAACTTGTAGTAACCTCCAGTTCAGCCTCCTGCCATGATGCACTTGCTAAGACAGCCGGTGGTGTCAAAGTACTCGCACCACATGAGGGAGTCGGAGCTTGCGGCTCCTGGCTTCAGCCTGGCCCAGTGCTGGCTGTTGCAGCTATTTGGAGGGTGGACCAGCAGATAGAACATATGGACCTTGCTCTTCCTTTGAAGTGGGATTTTAAAAACA